AGTATGAGGTGAATTTTTTATTTGTGGTGAAAATTATATTGTTTTTTATGCAGGTTGCCACTCCTCCATATCCATCTGCTCTATCTTGTCTGACTATGTTGTATGATTTTAGTGAAAAATTTTGGTTAGTTTTCAGCCTTGTTTCGTTAAGTAAAATGATATCTGGGTTTTCTTCTGTCACCAAGTTGACCAGGTTGTCTTTATTTGAGTGTATACTGCGTATATTCCACTGAATTATTTTTAAGTTTGTTTTATTATTCATAATTGGTTGAGAAAGAAAAAACGATTGCAGTTTGAATTGGTGGTCCTTGGTGGCGAAAGCAGATAGGGTTAATCAAAGTTTGTATCCTGATCCTGGTCCATGAAGGAACCTGGATGCGTCCCCGATAGCAGCAGGTCTCTGCACATACTTTTGTTATGTTCTGAGGTATTTTAAAGAAAATCCAAAATCTTTGAGATGTTAACTATTTTGTTATTAAAATTTGAAGCGGCACTAGTACTAGGCTTTTGAGAAGGTTTAAATTGTGAAAAGTTTTGAGAATCGTTGGGAGGTCTATATTGGGAATATCCTTGCGAATTAGTTATAGGACCAGAAATATTTTTCTCTCTTGAGTTGGGGAAGTATAGGAAATCCTCATGGGCTTTTTTTTCATAACTTGATTGTATGACTCTTTTCTTGTTGGGGTCTGTAGATATGGTTTGTTGATAGGTTCTTTTGGTTGTGTTGTTTTTAAAAGCTTGAGTTCGCCGCTGATCGGTTTCGATAACTGATTCATTTGCTCTTTGGGTGAAGTTTAGATTACTCTTGTTAGTTTTTAGTGCCGGAAAATTACTGGAATTGTAGATAAAGTCTCCTTTTGAAATATACGTTTTTCTGCAGCTATCATTGGCCTCGAAAAATGTTAGATTTTCCAGTGCCATAAGTTCCTTTATGTTTTTCTGTCTAGCGTATTCTGGGCAACTTTTAGCTGTTGCTCTGTGGTTGTCTTTACAATAGAAGCAGCACGTTTCACATGTAAAGTCTGGTGTCACCTCTCCGTGTGTTTCTTTAGAACAATTCATACATTTCTCTTTACCTTTGCAGTTATTTTTTGTATGCCCGTAGCGAAGGCAGCGGAAGCATTGGGTAACCGGGGGAATGTAAATAGATATGGGGAAATCTAAATGATATACTTAGTTTGATTGAAGTTGGGATTCTTACTCCCTGGAAAGTAAATAGTACACTGCCTGTTGGTTCATAAGAAGCTGTATTGTTGCTAATGACTTTCCTACTCAGTCTCCTAACATTTAGTATTTTAATATTATCATTAGCAAAACAAGCCTTCAGTAATTCCTCCTCTGAAATGTCTAAATCAATCCTTCTTGCTAAACCCTTCGATGTAACAAAATTAAATGGTATATAAATTTTATATCCTTTATTTAATAACACTTTATTATCAGTAAATGCATTTGCCGCCTTAGCTGTGATAAATTGAATAGATATTCTGTTTAAACCTAGGTTGTCGCTCACTGGAGCGCGGCGCACGGCAGCGCGGCGAAGAGGATTTTTTAAATACATTGTTTTAAACGGGAGTACGCTCACTTGTCGGAAGCGCACCGATCAGCATACTCCCATTTAAAACAATGTATTTGAAAAAGTCCTCTACGCCGCGCTTCTGTACGCCGCGCTTCAGTGAGCGTCAGCCTTAAGGCAGACGCTCACTGAAGCGTAGCGTACGGAAGCGCGGCGTAGAGGACTTTTTATAATACATTGTTTTAAATGGGAGTCTGCCGATCGGTGCGCTTCTGACAAGTGAGCGTAATCCCGTTTAAAACAATGTATTTAAAAAGTCCTCTCCGCCGCGCTGCCGTGCGCTGCGCTCCAGTGAGCGACAACCTTTTATTCGAAATTTTATAAACATCATTCAAATTCAAGTTAAAAATATCTCTGGCTATTTTTATGTTATTGGCTTTACCAATATTGAAACCCACTTTTTCAGTGGATTCCAAGTAAAAAAAAAGGGACCTTTATCAGTTGAGGTGTAAAGAATTTTATTTTCAGGTTTTTTGTCATCCTTTGTTAGGTTTTTGGTATGATCTACTAATTCAAGCACATTGTTTAAATTTTGACTATTGATGGAGTTTAAATTATCCAGAGGGAGATTCCCCCCCCCCCCCCCCCCCCCCCGGGGCCATCCATTATACTGCCCTAGGGTCAGTTATATATATAAAAAAAAACAATAGGCTAACCAAACTATTCAAGATGATTGAAAGGAAAAAAGCATTAATTGCACAACATTTTTTGTAATGATCACTTACCAGCTGGGATCAAACGTAAGCACAACAAATTATTAATAGGTCAGAAAACACCCTTGATTTCGCGGCCTCGCGGTCAGATCGCACAGATTGATAGCTCCACTCGGCTCGGAAGCTAGGTCGAGAGTGCTGCGGAAGATGCTATGGCAAAATGTACCGCGTTCTAGTCACTTTTCGCAAAACGTACCAGTGTTTGGTCTCGACCAATCAGAGCAGGGAAAATCGCACTATTGACTATACAATGGTGCTTATTTGCCACCCGGAAAAATTTTCGGCCTCCGGCGGCGGCGGCGGCGGCGGCCCTGTGTAAAGCACGGACGATACCACATAATGGAAATTAATATCGATAAGACCCAAGCTGTCCTGATCTCCCGCAAACGTAACAGATATGTTGACAACCTGATACAGGACGATTCAGGAATAACGTGGACCAATCAAATTAAATACTTAGGACTAATACTGGACAACAAACTTTCTTGGACTCCCCACATTCATAAATTAAATAAATGTAACAGATTAGCCGGATTGCTTCACCCACTACTCAACTAGAACAGTAAACTGAATCTCAAAAAAAAACTGTTACTATACAAACAACCTTCATTACTTTATATGGTGACTATGGTGTACCAGTGTTCTCACAAACATCACGGCAAAATTTTAAAAAAATTTTAGGTAAAAACTTTTTTGTGCAACCGTCCGCGAAATGAGCTTTTGCGGCCGCCAAACCTGATGTTCAAAATGTGAAAGGGGCGTGGGGGGCGCGCGCCCCTCCCTAAGAGCCACAAATACTACTATTTTTTTTTTTTTTAAATCATAGATAAAAAATTTTCCAATTAAATGTTATTGGAAAATTTTTCAAGCTACACTATTGTTCAATTTATTGTTTTGTTTTTATCAGATAAATGTGTTATATTTGTATTTGGAATAGGATTTTACATTTGTTATTTCCGGTTTTTTGATATGTGCAGTGTTGTCCAATTTGGATATTTTTGATAGAAAAACATCAATTTCTGAGGGAGATATGAAAAAATCAACCCCCACTCTGAGGCTCAAATTTTATTATCATAAAATTTGATTATTATTATTATCATAGAATTTATTAATCAAAATAATAAGCAATTGGACTCATTCATTACAGCGTAAGAGTGCTTCGCACTAACGCTACAATAAACTTATAAGAAGAAGAAGAAACTTTCTAATTTAATTTTTTTTTCTTGCATCACCCTGTAAGGAGATATCCTCCGATATCACAATAAGTGGACACCCTGTCTATGGATGGTTTCGACTAACATCTAAAACATTCTTGAACCGTTTTGTGGCTAGAGAATCCAGTGAGTTCCTCAGTTTTTTTTTCTATTTGTTCCCGAATTTGAGATACTAACCAGAACCAGAGTCCGATTGTTTTGATGGGACACCGGACACCATATATTAATAACTGATTGGATAGCTTTGATTTTGCTGCTTTCAATGATATAAAGTTCGATTGGTTATATCTGTTTTTGTTATAAGAAACAATGTGTTAGGAGAGGACTTTATATCTATAAGAAAAATGAGATAGTATACATTGTTTCTTTTGATTGAAACATCTATAATTTATTTATTTTTCTAGAAAACTGTTAGAGATAGACCTATTAAACCTTATATGTATCATTAAAAGAAGCAATAATAGAGCTATCAATGAGTTATTATTATATACTACCTAGGGTTTTTTATTTTAAAAAAAATAAGACAAATTAAAAAAATTGAGTACGTCATTGAATTCTGCTTGGAAATGTACCTCTAAAGTTTATACAGAATTCAATTACCTATTATTTTCATAAATAAAAAAGTTAGGGAGGTTTCACCTTATTGCTCAAAATCGAGAAACATCCTCTAGCGGCAAAACGGTTGAGGGTATCAAAAAGCGGTTTGCAGTAATTGCACCAATCAAGATTTCATGAAACTTTAACGTCAGCAGAGTGAGGGGTTCATTTTTTTGTATCTGGCTCAGAAATTGATGTTTCATATCAAAGTGTCCAAATTGGACCACCCTGTACCTATATTCTTTAACGTATAAGTAAAGTAAAAATAATTTTTCAAGAAATTATTGTTGATAATTCTAAGCCTGCGCCCCCCTCTGAAGAAAATCCTGGATCCGCCACTGAATCCATACAATTTTTCAGTAACTTCACATTATTTTTATAGTTGCACAAAAAATAGTGTGTATACCATGACCGCGAAACTTTTTAGTGTCCTCGAGATTATCTTGCCTCGGCGATAACTACGTACGCTAAAAAGACATTTCGCGTTGGTATACAAATAACTAATTCGACGATAACTTAACTATCAACCCTGACAGAACTTGTCTCAGAAATCTAAAGGCTCCACTTTATTTTTTAAGAATAAAATCCCTTTTCGTCCTTTCCTATCCTATCCTATCCCCATTCCCCTCTCTCTCCCTGAACAACAAGTTAACTTTAAACACAACATAAGTAGCAATTGGACTCATTCATTACAGCGTAAGAGTGCTTCGTACTAACGCTACAATAAACTCATAAGAAGAAGAAGAAGAAGAAGAAACTTTCTAATTTAATTTTTTTTTCTTGCATCACCCTGTAAGGAGATATCCTCCGATATCACAATAAGTGGACACCCTGTCTATGGATGGTTTCGACTAACATCAAAAACAAAATTAGACGAACTTTCATCTCACAAAATTTAGAATGTGTTTTGATTATGTTGTCCTAGAATAAATATAAATTTTGAATAAAATTAAATAGGTTTGTTGTCAAATTTTCTATTATTGCAGTATTTAAAACTAAAAAAAGCGCAGTTTAACAATAATAATTGCTTTCATGAGTTTATCTCAGTCTAATTATCTAAAACATAAATGTATAGGTACCTAACTAATATGCCTATCAATTTGACTTAGGAACAATCCAGGTACAGACATAAGTACCTACTTGCTATTTTAGTGAAATTGTTTGCTCCACAAAATTTTGCTATGAAAGAATTAACCCGTAACTGGTGAGGTCATTTTTTTGTTACATAACCGGTGAGGTGGGGTTTGTCAAATCCCAAATGAAAAAGGCGATTCTGCTAATTCAAAATAAAAAAACGTGTATGTTATTCACTTTTGGGTAAAATTTGTCCTTTTGAAACACGTAGGTACATACTTTCAACAAAAAGAAAACAAATATTTTAGGAATAATTAAATTTTACTGTGGGACTGCACAAAACACATAGGTATCAAAACTTATTTCTAATTGCTAGAAGTAATCAAACTGAAAATGTAGCATAACAAATACAAAATGGCGGAAAAGTGTCTGAAAATCTTTGAAAAACATTCAAGGAACAAAGTTCTAACAAAATTGTATTTCAAGTAATCTTTCTGGAGAGCGATTAACCCAAACTAACACAAACGACTCAAAGTGAGGTGGGGTTACGCAAACCCCAATTTGTACAAGAATCGTTATATTGCACACCAAGTAAAATATCGCGCGTTGTTGACACCGTTAGGGTACTGACGGACAACGGACCGAAAGCTACACAGACGGTAAGCATCAAAACATTCTGCCACCCAATAGCTATTAAAAGGGTCAGAATGTTATTGCATGGGCTAGATTCAGGGTCAGAACGTTACAGCATTAATATTAAATTTACCAAACAATGTTTGATGTTGAAAAATCTATGTGTCTTTTGTACGTGTTATTCAATTCAGAAATTTATATTTTATTCGTGTTCCCTATGGATTTTTTTCATGAATATATTAATTGTTAGTTTTTTTTATTGAAACGGAGGAATTAAGAAATATTTCCATTTTGGATATAAGGGGTCAATAAATTTAGGTTTAGCATTAGGTGTTTTACCTTAATTTACCTACATGAAATAAAAAAAGGAAAAATAGTACCTACATTAATGGCCGTTTGCACCGACTGTTTTAAGAAAGCCTTTTAACGATAAGTCTACGTCAGGTCTACGTTAAAATTACATTTTGCATGGGAAAATGTCACTTTAAGGAATATCTTCCTATCGTTAAGCCTTCCATTAATGGGTCAATGCAAACGGCCATTAATGTCGGTACTATTTTTCCTTTTGCACGATAGGTGTTTTCACTCACATTCGAATAAACAGGCGTTGTGGGTAGTTGTATCGCATCCATCTCTATTATGAATAAATATTAAAATGTCTTCGCATAAATTTCAATAGAGCAATGAGCGACAAATAAACAAAACATGCGGCACTTCTAACGGACAAGTCCAACTTGCCGTCCCGAGATTTTGACCCCTGACCTAGCCCATGTAGTAACATTATGCCGCTCAAAATAGCCACATCGAATTTGATTGGTCAGATTTCCGGGATATGGCTAGATTGGGCGGCAGAATGTTTTGATGCGGTAATGGGCCTCCAACCATTAGGTAATACGTGGTAAAGATTCTTAAAATCTGTGGGGTTTGAGAAACCCCACCTCACCAGTTACAGGTTAAATATAAAATAGGTGCTTGTAAAAAGAATTCATCCAACGGATTGAAAATGCAAAAGTCATCCTACCTAGAACATGATGTGGTTGATTTGAAAAGTTGGAATAGGTAACAAATGCATCAGAAATTGAAATTAATAATAACAATGAAGACAATTAGTTATGCTCAATGTGTACATTTGCATGCTGCGTACGCACATGTTTGTTTCTGTCATTTTTTTGTCTAAAATATTTTTCGCAAATATTGCACGGATAAGGTCTTTCATTAGTGTGGATCCGTTTGTGGTTATTCAGAGCATCCGCTCTAAAGAATTTTTTACCACATGCCTGTAATTGAAATAAGTTATTAGGGCAATTATATAGCGTGTCCGTTTTGAGTGATACCACTATTGCTATCTCCGAAACGGTAAGAGATACGAGGTCGGTTAAATTCGTTGAAAGACAAAAGTGGCAGATTTTAGTGTCCATTGAAGGTAAGTTCCTAGGATTGCCAAATTTTTGTTCGTTTCCGAGATATAAGGGGAAATGTGAACACAACTAAAAGCCGTGTGAAGACTCAATGTGTGAAGATAACAAGCCATTTTGTAGAGAAGAAGAAATCTTGAAACATTTGTACTGAACAATTTTTTAGCAACCTTGAGAACTTACCTTCAATGGATACTAAAATCTGTAATTTTTGTCTAATTTAACCGACCTCGACCTTCTTACCATTTCGGAGATAGCAATAGTTGTATTAACAACGGTATTAAGTACTTAAAACGGACATCCTGTATTACTTCTTAATTTTCACTAAAACTTCCAATTAGAAAAATATACTTACATCACAAATATACCGTCTATCATTGGTGTGAATCAATCGATGTTGGTAATAGACAGATCCAGTTAGAAAACGTTTATTGCACACGTTACATTTGAAAGGTCTTTCCCTGGTGTGCACTTTACAAATATGATCCTTTAGATCGGATCTTATGGTGTAACGGGCTTCACAACCCTCGTGAGGGCAAGCGAACGGCTTGATCCCTAAAATAATACAATACAATTTATTTCAATTATTTCTATAATGTATAATATCATTGTGTACAGAGTGACCCGTCCGTTTATTTTGTTTTCTCTCGTCTTAATTTTTTCAATGGCACAATTGGCACACCTTGTATATTAAATGTGGGATGAAAAGTACTCTTTAAAACAAACTTTTTTTGTATAAAACAATATGCAGGGTGTTCAAAATTAAGTCAGTACTATTGCCAACTTGCTTATTATAAGATTTACAAAATAGGTTAAATTGGCAAATTAGTACGACTAGTAGATTGAGTTATTATTATTATAAAAAAAAATAGCATGGGACCAAAAAAGGATTTTCGCGTTTCTCCCTATAACTATTAAAGATAAACCGAGAAATAAACATATCAAACTGTATATCGTTGAAATCAGGTTGAAGGGGACTAATAAATAAGCGCACAGTGTACAGTATGTCCCAAATTCGAGGGCCAACATGGGGATATCTATAACTCTCCTGCTACTTTTTCTCTTCTACAAGTTGCTACCATCAAATTTAAAATCTGACGTTTCGTCTTTGGACCACCATCATCAGCTACAGTTTTTTGAATCTGGACCCCTATATTTTATTTTCGATTTTATAAGTTTCTGATGTCCCAAGACCTATGACGTATTGCATTTATTCGAAAAAATATTTTTTTTTTTTACTTTTAGTAATTTCCTACCAAAATTCCCTTCTCTGTCTATCTCTAACACATTAAGTTCTTATGGAAAGTGCAAAATAATATAATTTTTTCAAATAAATACAATCCGTCATTGGTTTTGGGACATCAGAAGCTTATAAAATCCAAAATAAAAAATAAGGGTCCGTATTTAAAAAAAAATGAAGCTGATGATGGTGATCCAAAGACGAAATGTCAGATTTCAAATTTGATAATAGCATCTTGTTATGGAGAAAAAGTGGCAATGATGAAGAAACATTTTCAAATTTTCAAAAAGCTATTTTATTAACCATAAAATTGCGCAACTTTTGTCTAATTTAACCACCCTCGTATCTCTAACGGTTACCGATGATATCCCCATGTTGGCCCTCGAATTTTACATGATGGTCTTCTATTTAAAGAAATATAACTTCGCTCTGCTACACTTTTTCGACGCACCCAAAATGCAAGGAGAATACACACTCTAGAGTGCTCATCGGCCTCATTTTTGGTAATCGCCTCCCGTCACAACTGGTATTTTGGCCTGGGAAGAAGGGGGGGATTTGTTACACACAGGCTCTATGAGGATAGGCCATCCTGTAGTAGTAGCGTGTATCATCCTTGCCCTAAATGCTTAGAAGCGCCTTACTAGTCTTAGATGGCGCCACGATCAAATTTAGACCGTCGTACTTCTTCTATTTTGCCTACAGGCACAAAACTTGGATTGATTTTCTTTGCTTTCCTAGCCATACAGATGAGACCTGATAGGTCGAAACGCGTCTATGGATGGAATAGCGAAGAAAATTAAACCTTAATTTTTTTTTCTCATCAGTGGATAATAGGAGAAAACTTGTTTTCCCTATTCTGGGTTTTCCCAACGAACTGATTTTTGGTCGGCCTATTAGATGGTCATCACTAAAATACAGCAAAAATTGCTGTTTAGTGTTGATTCCTAGTCTTAGATGACGCCACGATCAAATTTCGACCGTCGCACTAAATTTTAATTCAACTTTTTTGCAACTCCAACAGGCTGTAAAACCTAAACGGTTAATTTTAAAGGAAAATCGATCTTACATTTTTGTCTTAGATTTTTATGAACTATTCCGTTTAAAAATTTAATCTCCGGTTAAATTCAAAGTTGGAGTCAAATGATAGTTTATGAAAATCCAAGAGAAGAATGTAAGATTGGGTTTCCTCGAAAATTAACCGTTTAGGTTTTACAGCCAGTCAAGAGGCAAAAAAGTCAATTTTCAACTGTCAATATTTCCAAAATAGTTGAACTTAGGGATTAAAATTTAGTACTAAAATGTATGGAATTATGGAATTAAAAACTCTCTAAAATGATGTAACACTTGACCCCCCTTCCCATTAAAGATTTTCTAGGGGGTGCCTCTGGGGGCTGGGGGGTTGAAAGGAGGAGGTGAATTTTGCATAAAAACTCATCCCCCCTCAAATTATAGTTGACGTGTTTCAGGAATTTTTTCGATAATTTTTCAACTCCGCGATAAAAGGGTAAGTTTCAAATACCCTTCAACTGAAGGTTTAAGACACACATGACCGGGCCGTGTCCTGTGTCAGGACCGAGCCTCGGATGAGAAACGCCCTTCGCCCTTCGCTGCTGAGCCCAGTGGCGGATTTAGAGGGGGGGCGCGGGGGGCGCGCGCCCCCCCTATTGAGCGAAATTTTTAACGAAAACACAAACATATTCATCAAGCATTATCCAACATGAAATTCCATATGGTTTTTGCTATTTTTCCAAATTTTTAATACTTTTAAATACGTTTGGCAGCAGCGAGCTGGGAGCGAATCGACTGCGGATGACGTAAATCCGCACCAACTTTGAATTTAATCTATAATTGAAAATTCCAATTAAATTTAATCTCCGATTAAATTAAATGTTGATGTCAAATGATAGTTTATGAAAATCTAAGATAGGAATGTGAAATCGGTTTTCCTCTGAAATTAACCGTTCAGGTTTTACAGCCTGTCAAAGTTGCAAAAAGTCAATGTTCAACTGTCAATATTTCCAAAACAGTTGAACTTAGGTATAGGGTATATCACATGAAATCTGCTCAGAATTTTACGTAGAATCCAAATATGCAATCACATACAGGGTGTTTTATTTGAAAAAAAGAAAGTTGGTCTAGATAGCAAACAAACCAGAAGTGACACAGGCAATACGTTTAAGTAGAATTGTGGGAAATATTAGGGACATAAAGCTACTTGAAATAATTCATCGGTATCGGTATCCGTAACGCAACTAGATACGTTGACAAGCGAAAAGGCTGTTAAAGCGCTCCCTGTTCCGGTAAACGTAAACGCATTTCATAACCTAGACATTTTTGTCTCAAAACTTCGGCGTTTTTATATCTAACCTTAAAATTGTTATTTTTTTTGCGATAGAGAAGCACTAAACACACAAGAAACTCAAGAAAGTATAAACTAAACAAATTAAATCAACCCGGAAGAAAAGGGAGGTTATATTCATTTGAAATTTGACATGCGTCAGGAATGTCAAGATACGTTACCGATACGGATACCGCGAGAGGGCCGTAACGTTACGTTGTACGTACGGTATCTCGGCCTCCGTATCGCTTCTGCACATGCGCAGTACGATACCGATACGGATACCGAGCAAAAAATACGGAAGCTTTATGTCCCTAATTTACTGAGCCTTTCATTAAGGTCACTTTTTCTTATACGAGGTAATTAGAAAGTTACAAGTATTATACGCGACTTTTTTGCCACTCTGTATATTTAAGTCGTTTTTTTATTATTTCTTATCTGAGCCTGAGGCCCTGATGGATCGCCCCCCCCTAGAAGGAATCCTAAATCCGCCGCTGGCTGAGCCATGGGTTCAATGGCATTCGGTGGCATGGTATTCCGGATTAATCGATCTGTAATTTGCGCAAATATCAGCATAGAACAGAAATATAAGGTCGATTCGCTAAATACAATTAGATTGTCCCTCATTACTGCCAGGCAGTATTTGAAATTTCCAATAGCTCTCTATAAATATAACAATCCACAGTATATTTTTTTAAACTAAAACCAAGGCAAATTTTCATTTCCATATAATTCAACATTTCAACAAAAACCTTTTAAGGTGCTGATAATAGAGACGTTTACCTTATACATTTATAGTTCGAGAGCTGGCAGTAAAAACAACTACCTCATAATTACCAAAGGTTTGAATTGCCATGTCGGTACTACCATTGTATCTCACATGATGATTTCAAAACCGCCCGTCTGCTGGGCGTAAGTGGTCGCATTATTTGCCAGAAACGTAAAAAATCTGAATTTTTCAGCACTTTTTTCAGTTTTTCGCTTATATCTCAAAAACTATACGTTTTTTGAAGATGAGCATTCCCTACAAATTTGCATAAAATTTCCTACAGAAAACACTAGTCATCTTTGATTTATGATAAGCTGTCTTTGCGCTACAGCTCAGTGAAAAAGAATGTTTTTTTTTGTATTTTCACAAGATCGTCTAAAATACCCACTTTCATCCCCTACAACCCATAAGAAATATAATATGTTAATAGACTTATATCACGTGTGAGTACATTATATGTATATCATTAAAAAAATGTCTGTCATATTTAATTTTCTCACTAAGATTTTCATGAGAAGCATTTTTTAGTTAGTTAGATGGCAAGCTATGTTTAATGAAAACATTCATATTATATTTCTTGAGTTGCAAATCTAAGGTTGCAGTGAATGAAAGAGGGTATTTCAGACGTTTTTGCGGAAATATAAAAAAGACATTGGCTCATATAAATAAGACAGAAGCAAAATGCTTTTGCTGAAGTTTTTTGAGATAAACATATTCAGCTTCAATACAGCAAAAAGAGACGGAGGTAGAGTGAAAGCATTTGCTACACTTTTTTTTCACTAAGCACTAGCGCGAAGACCGCTTATCATAAAAAAAAAGATAACTGGTGCATTTTGTAGGAAATTTTATTTACTTTAAAGTGAAGAATGCTCATTTTCAAAAAACGTATAGCTTTTGAGATATAAGCGAAAAACTGAAAAAATTGCTGAAAAACTCAGATTTTTTGCGTTTTTGTCTAATAAAACGACCACTTATGCCCGACAGACGCACGGTTTTGAAATCACCATGTGAGGAAGTACCGACATGTCAATTCAAATCTTTGGTAACTATGAGCTAGTTGTTTTTAATGCTCCCGAACTAATACCTACATCATAGAAACTCCTTCATTTTATAGATATAGGTAAGCACCTAAGTTTTCATTTAGGTATACCTACTAGTAGGTACCGTGCCTTCAATTTATCTTGGTAACATTTTAATTCCCTATAATT